GGTTCAGGTGAGGATCCTGGCCATAGGAACCTTCACTTCATCCACATTCTGTCTTTATTTTTATAGCATGAATGTATCACAAGTTATTCACTAATTCTGTTACAATTATTTCCACCTTTTTATCACTGTAAAAACAATGCTCCAATCAGTATTCTTTTACATATACCTACAGGTCAAAGAGGATGAACCTCTTGTAGAGAGTAGAGCTTTCTTCATTCAAAGGTATATTAGTAGCTGTCCATTTTTGCCAGATCTTCCAAACACATGAACTCTTAAGACAATCTTGAGAATCCTGTTCTTGTATCACACCAGTAAAGGGGAAAACTTACCATATACCCCACAATGTTGTTCCTTGTCTTTTAGAGGTAACCTTTAAATCAAAAGATAGAAGTGTAGTTTTGTAATAAAAAATGTAAAATTATTCTAAGGCTATGTTTTTCATATGGCAGGTCCAACCATTAGGAAGTTATCAAATCATTTTAGAGCATAACTATTAGGACTATTTTAATTAAACAGTATAGAGAGGATAGAAAATATCAAGGAACATCACATGCAGTAAAAGCAGAATTGTTTCACAACTTTGAATTCAGTTATCTATGAACACATGTTTATAACTTGGTGTGTACAGGGTCACATCATAAACTATATTTCTTGCTATGTGCCAATAGTCCAAAAATTTGAAAAATATAGCATGAAAGTTTTCTGAGGAAAACACTGTGGCCTTGGAAATAGTGATTGATCATGAGGAAGTTCCTTATGAAGGGTTTTGTGTCAGTTTTGCATTCTCCTTCTTGGTGTGGTGTGTCTGTTCCTCTTACTGTAAGTTGGGGACTTGCTTTCCCACCTACTCAGAGAGCAAAGCTGGTCCTCATAATCCACAGCCTCAGCAAAAGCTCTAACATTCACCCACTCTCCTGTCTACCCCTCCAGTGCATCTCACCAGATTGGACTCTCTCATTAGGTCACGTAGGCTTTTAAAAGAATATGAAAAAGGACATGAATGTTATAAAAGCTCAAGACTATATACTCCAAACACACTCATTAACAGATAGAGAACTGAAGCCCAAAGCAATAAAATGCATGTCCTGGGTCACAGCAGGCCGAGAACTGAAACAAGGCACCAGGTTGCCAACCCTAGAATTTTTTAATGATATAATTAGTGTGCAGTGTAGGAAAATCAGAAAATCCATGTTAATAAAGAAATAAAAAATATATGTAGGCATTATTTTTTTTTGCTGGTAAAATAACTGATAGTTTTATTTTTAAGATTAACAACACCTTCCCATTTTCTACATACATATAGCCTTTTTTTTGGTATCATTAATCTACAATTACATGAGGAACATTATGTTTACTAGACTCCCCCCATCACCAAGTCCCCCCCGACATACCCCATTACAGTCACTGTCTATCAGCGTAGTAAGATGCTGTAGAATCACTACTTGTCTTCTCTGTGTTGTACAGCCCTCCCCATGCCCCCCCCCC